GGCTACCTCTCTTTGATTTCACAAATCGTAATAACATGTTATCATCTCATCTCATCTTTCACTGTTTGCCGCCACTGCAGCTAAATATATATCAAATGTATAGTAAATAATACACGCACGCACACACACTTGCCATCCGATGCCGGCTGTAAGGGTGTACGAAGGGTGCTACCACACCGGACCACGTGTTATGAAGGCGTCCGCGTCATCGGCCCTCGTTTACCGCCGGAACATTCATTTGAAATCGGAAAAATATATCCAATTCTACACGAATAATATTTCCCTGCCGTTATGGTGATTTTCTGTTCGTTATTCGTCTACCAGTATTGGTTCGTTATACCTACATGATGTTTTTATTTTATCGTTTATAATGTACGGACACCACGTGCGATACGCATTTACGATGTTTGTAGGGAAGTTATGGGATCGAAAAATCAACAACTTGACCGGGATTCGTGCGCTTATAGTGGAACTATCCTCGAGCTGAGGGTCAGCTCGGGTTTGATCTGTAATCGCCGACTTAGATCTACGGAACAATTATACGAGAGCAAAAAAAAAAAAAAAAAAGAACTATAGCTTTAACGTCTACAATTATTTAAATGGCAGTTTTCATACACGGAGATGTGACTGCACTGCGATACGTGAATGAACCGTAAAGTTGATCATCAGATTGTCTACGATCGATCGTTCCGCCAACTCGCGGTGTCAGGTTAATTAGTCGATTACCGCGGCAGTCGGAAAAAAATAATAAATTCGTAAAATATCTACATTGAACGGTTATGTATCACTGGTGTTAACTTCTAATTCGATTAGATCGCGTTTGAAAACTCATCAGGTTCGGCCGAATTTTCATATACTAACGTGTGGCGATATTGGAAGTGATAGGGTTTGGCCGCTTATTAACGATACAACGAATAAGGTCTCGCTATGCTATTGTTTGCGTGGAAAAAAACAATTATTTCATTATTATTGTAGATATTAGATATACGTATATCGTACTAAACAGAAAAACGCAACAAAAAAAACTAAACACCAATGAATAGTTTTTCGAAGGTATAATTTTATGCGACAAACGTTCTCTATTTTTGATTTTATTTTTTTGTCCGGCACCGGTACACCGCAGGTGTACGGGTAAAATGTACTTGTATCGTACGCGTAGATTATAGATTGAATAAGGGTATTATTTTTATTTGTTTATTCTTTCAATTTTCAAACGTTTTTTTTTTCTTTTTTCTTCCGTAAATTATCACGTTTCGCTCGTCGTTATAGCTGTTATAATAATACCTCAACATCAAATCGTACACGAATGTTTCAAGACCTGTTGCACTGGGACCGTCTCGTATCCGCCACCGAGGCCCCACAACGACGTAATACCGGCGGCAGTCTGTTCCGCGTACGATTATCATAAGCTTCTTAACGCGCGCACAAGTACACGTATTAATACCCCACCAATATTAAATAATATAATACTCATTATTTTACGACGGACCGTAAGTGCGCGACGTCCAACACCGTTGTCGAAATAATGTATTATCGCCGCTTATACTCTTCACTCTTGCCCAACGCCGCACCTACCCAGCATAAAGGATTAAAAAATATTCAAGGAATTAAAAAAATAAAAAATAAATACCAGTTTTGAAATACTATTATATAGTGTACGTGTTGTTTTTGTCTTCGCGGCTGTTATTAATTCGAGCTGTCGACTGCTGTTACCTGTTATTAACGATGGTCTAACGATCTCTGTGTCTCGCAAACCGAATCCTTAAGGTCATATTATTATTTTTTTTTCCAGATCAATGTTACACCAGCTATTATTGATGCGTACACAGTAGTTGACAGATAATTATCCGTAAACGCATATCACCAAATCGTTTCATTTCGTCCAGACGGCGGGGAAAAGAGTTCGTTTACACGTCGTTCACAAATTCCTTTTGGTGCAATCCACTCAAACGTTTTCATTTCAAGGACTACACGAGTACCTATATAGTTATCATTATTTATCCGCAAAAATCGAATCTTATACGGACGTGTAATGCACACGAAAATATATATTCGTTAACTATCCGTAACCAGGAATGAATGTTGATTCGTAGAATGGTATTTGTTATTCCATCAAATCCTTCAATCTTCTTTAAATATATCTTTAAATCCTTCCAATGATATTGTAATGTTTAAGTTTATTTGCTTACCGCATTATCTTCGACGATCACTCACCGAATTGATCGTGATCAATGAAAAACAACTGTGTTTTATTATTAATCGGGTGTGGGTGAGTTGCAGCTCGGCGTGTCGTTTCCGGTGTTGGAGACCGGTGAATTCCGGCCCGATAATATTTTAGCTATGAGTTGCGGCTCGAATAATTATCATTACCTATGTACCTATTGGCTAGTAACTATATGTACGATGTGATGTTGGCTATACATTTAGTGATAAACGAATTGTTCGATACGTATGGCAAGTTATATCTTTTATATCTTTATAGTTTTATCTGTATAATATAATATGTATATATAATAATTTATAATTATTATATATTATATTCTAAAAACGCAAAATATTATTATATTTGTTAGCTCATTTTTCACACATTTTCTTTTTATTATTATTATTTTAACCAAAACAATAGCTAAAAAATGAAATTACTATACGGTATTATTCATTTACGAATATTTTTATTTTTTTTATTTATTTTCTTGAAATGACAAATATTAATAATATACGACAATATTAGAAAATACGTAGTATTAATAAATTTATATTGTGATGTTTATATATATGTACTATGTATAGTATATATTATATAAGTAGTATATAGATTATTGTATGGACCGCAACTTGTACGTTATTTAGGGTTTGGGCCGCAACTCACCAACACCGTATTAATCACTGACATCACAACGTGGATTTTCTGTCTAAACTTACAATGGCCCCATTTTCACCTTTACCGTGTTAATTTTGTTTCTATTTTTATAATAAATGTATCTAATTTACTCAAAACACATACGGTATTAACTTTAAACGGCCGTAGCCATAAACGAATAATTTTCCTCCAATAAGGAATTATGAATAAAAATAGGTAATTTTTATATTTGATACAAATTAAATGATTGGCAAAAATGTATTTACATTAAAAAAATAGTTAATGTTTAATAGCCTGTATAAAATCGTGATAACCAACTTATTAATGATCGGTGATAACTTTATGTGTACACAACGTACGTATCTTATTTATTCTTAATCAAACCGGTGCCATTAAGATTTTATTGACTATTACGTTTACTGTGTAATACATTAGGTACACTACAACACTGGTGCCACCTAAATATTTTAACATTTGGAGGAAAATAAAATTGACATAATTTTAGTCCAAAAAAAAGTTTGGAGGAAAACAGTATATCGTTTTTGGAGGAAAATGGACTCACACATGTAAACTTACATTTCAACTAACGAACATTAATATTTATGTAGTAAAATTACTTGTTGTATTTAACAAGTGTTTTATAATGCAAGACAATGCTATATTATGTTAAGTTAAATCAAAATTAGGCGCCAACATGTTCCGGAAATTGTACACAGTTCGTTGATTAGTTTAATTTGTCTGGAAATACTAACGCGTTAACAATAATTTAATGTGGAAAAAGTTATACGTATAACTGTAATAAATACTAAAATCTATTAAAGGATATTACAATATTATCTCCATTGACGCTATCGATAATATGAAATCGATTAACTATGTAATTTAGATTTTAGAACGTGGTGGTTAGTAGAAATGTTGTTTAAAATATTTTAATCGCTTACATACCTGTAAAAAAAAAAAAAAAAAATAGAAATTGCTTAAACACGTTCGACAGTTACAGACTGGTATTACTAAACCGTTTGATTAATTAGGATTTAAATAATATCCGCCGAAAAATCAAAGAGCTTCCCTGAAAATTCCTTCACAGTAAACGTTAAGAAGTAAACTAATATCGTATGATCAATCTTGAATATAGAAAAAAAATAAAAACAGTATTTTATATTTTTTATATATATATACGGTGTATATAATTTGTTATAGCACATGTATAAGTTATTGTATTTTGAGACGATAATAAAATGTACAAATTAATTTGCGCGATGGTCGTTAAAAAAAAGTATTATAATATTGAATACTAATATAACTAAATGGCAATGAATTGAAAAATATACAGCGCATACCAATCGTAATTTAATAATAATTGAAAAAAAAAAAAAAAAAAAACGGAATTTAAATAATAATACTGCATCATTTCAAACGTCATCGCTGCGGGTTCGCAGTAACTATATATAGTGCATAAATGGTGTTTTATGCGTTGGTACGTATAATATTAGTATTTGCGAATTACGCTTTATAAAATAAATTATAGTATATTTATTACATTATTTAAATTATAGTATTATAATAATCTATGTATAATGACGCGTACGATATTACATTACAATGTCGGTCTCGTCGAACAATTTTGTATTTCTTAATGGCTATACGTATAAAAATAGATATTACATGTATTTTCAAGCTGCTTTATTTGGTATTGTTAACACGATATTTTGTAATATAATACTTTGTTTCAAACGGAAATAAATAATTAAACATTTGTTCGCGGGTAAAATAATTTACACGATTAAAATAATATAAACGTCACTAAATGTATACAAATAAGAAATTCAATTTTTGCCTCCGATTCACCGACCGAAATGAAGTACACTTACATTATAATATATATGTATATAATACGTTAACTACTACATAATTGAAATTAAACGCGTAATAATAAAATAAAATATGTCTAATGCCTTTTTTCTCTACAACTTCAATGATACATCTAACATTGCACAATGCACGCGTATGAATTAAATACATCACAATATAATAGTAATTATATGATGTACTAATATAAATAATACATTATAACCATATCATCTACCAGTATAATTTATGTACATAAAACATGCATATTTGTATTCACATAATATAACGATTACTTATTTTATAACTATATGTACACCATATTCTGTACAAAATAATAAATATTTTATTATACATAATACACATCAAACGTACCTATGAACTTCTATACTTCTACTCTTTACATATATTAGGGTGTGCGTGTGTGTATGTGTGTGTGAAATTACGTTGGATATAAATTATGTTATAACGATAAAAATGTCAATAACATACATTTTAAAATATAAATAGGACGAGGGGTGGTGTGTACGAAAGAAGTCAATTAAGAAATCTTGAAATGATGACTAAATAATACACATAAAACAATAATAATAATAAGAATTCGCGTTCAACAACAAATAATCGACCCGTTCGGTCAAATATATTATAATTTTAATGAGACTATCTGTGTTTTTGCACCGTTTATAATATGAACGAACTACAGTCCATTGCGGTGTACGATTTCATCACGTCGTAACAGCGTACCACATTAAGGGGTAATTTTTATTTTACATTTATCACACTTTGCATACGACACTGATCAATAATCTGCGATGAAGCGTAATGAAAAAATATCACTCGGTACAGGCGAATGTATTTAACATGATTATTACTAGTACGATATAGTGATATGCATTTATCATAGTTATATTTCGTGAAATCATAGTAAAATGTTACGTTCATTCACGCACGTATTCGTACACACATTCGCTTGCGAACACTTCTTATACGTACACACGTACACACACGAGCACATATTGTACGCAATAAAAATACTGATCTCTGTACACAATGATAAAACGACTAAATTACTGTATCACACGTATGTTTTTCGTGATATGTTTTTTCTTCCTCGTATTAAATACATTTTCTAACGCATCGAGGAAAGATGTAATACAATTATTATAATAAGCTGAAAACACTCGTTTCTCTGGCAGCTGTGTGCGCGTGCGTGCGCGTGCGTGTGGGTTCGTGCAGGGACTAACACATAGGAGAAGCGACCGTCGGCTGCGACAGAGAAAAGTGTCCGGGCGGCGGTTGTGGGGCAACGACGGACGCGCCCACGCCACCGGGACCACTACCACCGGGCGACATGGTGGCAGGCGACCAGGGCTGTAGACCCTGCAGCGCGCCCAGTCGCACGCCACCGTCCCTTTCGTCCATCATGGACTGCATCATTTTCGTGGCCATCTGCCTTTGAGCTTCTCGTTCTTCCATCATGTGACGTCTATAAAAAAAAAAAAACGAAAAGAAAAAGATTTAATCGAATGATAAATTAAACCAAAAGTTGTTTGATGTATATTAAACATAATACTATGCACCGATCGAGTTTATTCGTCGGGAAAGGATTATTAATATTAACGTTAGAATATCCGGTTCAACGGATCAATCGATTATATTCTCATAATAATGTTATTTTCTTACGATTTCAATTTTACGATTTAACTTACGGTCTACATAACACAGAGTATACTTTATAATTTTTACACAGTGCGTTAACTTTTAGTATAATATATTGTAGACTACAATTTGTAGTCATTATTGTGTATTGAAGTGCACTATATTTGATCATCGGAAATTGTAGATCAGTTTATAAGACGAGAAAAGGTACGAGATCTTTTGAATAATTCAATAAACCATAAGTGCATATTATTTTAGATATTCAAAAGTTTTTTCACAGAATAATTCAAACTAGAAGTTAATCGATCAATAATTATAATTATTATTATTCAAATTCTAAATAAATGGAATAGTACATTAACATTTTGAGAAAAATTGTTTGCGTTTCACTTTTATTAACTAAACTTTAATATAAATTTTTCAGTATTTAATATTTATTAATTTGTTATTAAACATTCAACTTCTGATACTTATATTTATGAATTATAAATTGTAATAAATTCACAATTAATTGTTGTAAGATTGATTATTATATCACTTAAAAATTTTAATTATCTACTTTATATACTTATGTTTGAAAAGAGTTAATTATGATTAATGAACTAGATAATTATAAAATTGACAAAGTGTCCCAATAAGATTAATTTTTGTAGGGAAGTTTTCGCTATAAGCCTCTTCCATGTTCTATAATATCGAATATTTGACTCTATTCATCTATAATATTTTGCTTTAAACTATGTAATCAAAAGTTCTTACCGTCAAGGATACCTAGTCAAAATGTAATAAATGTTAAGTCATTATGATTTTAATTATTTTATTCGTAAACGTAGGGTGAAAAAGAGCTTAAATATTTTAAAGAATTTTGTAGAACTGATCAATTTTATGATACTATTTGTATATAAATAAAAAAAAAAAAAAAAAAAAAAAACTTAAAATTTGACACACAGTACAAATCGATATGCTTTCCATCGCACAGGCAACAACGTTTCATTGGTGGAAAAACGGTTTGTGTGTGCGATGACAATTTTTCGAGACAACACTATATATTTGTGTGTGCGTGTGTGTAAACAATTTAAGCTGTATACGTATACACCGTATTGCATACACATGGTGAAATAAATATATACATATTGCATAGATAAGTGTTCGTGCGGAAAAAAGGATAGCATATACGTTTATAAAAACGTAAGTAAATATATATATATACACACACATGAATACCAGAATACTAATAAATATCGTATGCATACAATCACGAAAATATACACGCTCTTAACCTATACGTATACGCGTGCGTGTATGTGTGTGTGTGTGTGCGTGCGCGTATAGATAAACGGGAACGTACGGTTAGCGGACGCCGAAAGTTGACAGTTTAAAAGCCGCACTGAATAATTCAGTTGTTTTTAAAACGGATTTCAGTGCGCGCAGACGCGCTGCTGCCATCATACACTTATATGTTACATGCAACACTTCTATCGCTGCGCGCCCCGATAAAATATTAAACACTTTCGGACCTTTCGCGTACATTGTATTTACACGCACCTCTCTATACGGCGTTGACGGCATCATTTCCTCCGGTGCCTTCAACGCGTTCATGTCGAACGGTAGTGTACGGTTTGCGGCAGAATCGGCAACGACGGGTGCAACAACATACCACCACCAAACATTAGCTACCCAAACACTTAACATTATAAATACATATAAAATCTAGTCCAAGAACGACTTTAATAGCTTTAGAACAATCGTCAGTGTGAACGCTCATAGTTAAAATCGCCAATCGTAATCATCTAATTCGAAATATTTCTAACGAAACCAAAATGGTCCAAAATTGTATACAAATTATCTCGAGATAAACTTCCTCCGTTCGTCCTCAACTTATCTGTACGATAACATTACATTTCGGTTTTCATACATGTTATGTATTTATAGATAATACTCAAATTTCATTGTCCTTAATCTGTTAGTGGCCTCTATAGCTGGAAGAGAGAGAGAGAGAGAGAGAGAGAGAGAGAGAGAGAGAGAGAGAGTGATATAGTAACGATGAGAAAAATCGTCGCGTACAGCCACGGGTGGGTGGAAAGGAAGCAGTCCGGTGGCGCTATAGTCATCGGATTTCGTCCCATCGTGTGGCGCCGTCCGCACTTATCACGCGCTCGTACGTCTCGCCGCTGTCGGCCTTTTTTTTTAGTTCTACCGAAAAACAGGTTCAACTCCCGGCCCGAACAACATAATAATAATATTATACGCGCTATACACGCAATGTATAATATGATCACTTTAGGCAACGCTAGTAATAAAAGTAATGATAATAACTTTTAAACGGATTAGGTTTAATTGAAATTAGTGTTTTTGTGAGGGCCCGCAGTGATTAAACTTTAACAAATAATTTATAAGTCGATGCATTAGTGTTACGATTGTACCTCTAAATTTGATTGAAAAACATCCAATTCGTTTGAAATTCAAACGCGCGTGTAAGATTCCTTTTACTTTTTCAAAACGAATTCTACCGTCAGTGTTTCCACACTATTTCTCCACCGTTGTTTACCGTGGTCTGTAAATGCATATAATAGTTGCATAAGAGTTTGGCAAAAAAATCGTTTCGAATATAATAATAGTACAATACACCTATAAAATACGGATAGAGAGATAATACTGCACGTGACGATCGTAAGAAATCGGAATTGTGCGCACACGAGGAGGCAAAACAAACATGTCCATTCGCCTGTTTACTCTTGTACAGCGATAGTAAAAAGGGCGGTAAGCACACAGTCTGAAAATATACCGACGCGTCTACGAAAGATAAATATATACGTTATATACATACGTAGTGATACTACATACACGATACTATACGATGATGATGCCTTGTAAATGTGCGAGCGTTTACGTATATTTATATCGAATAAGTATACTTGTACGTATATATACATATTACTATATACAGGTAGTAACTAATAGGATACGCGTGGGGCAACTGGTTCACCCGTGTTATCCACTGGGGGCGCCACCGATTACACGGAATATGCATTAACCGTCGGCGCGGATAACACGTGTAATTAAAAAAAAACACAAAAAAAGAAAAAAAATAACCAATAAGGAAAAAAAATAGTGTATTAAAACCACTTAATAGCGACCCGAAAAGGTGACAGGAATTTTAAAAGCTTCTAATGGACTCGGTTTTTTTTTCTCTTCGTTCTCGTTCTTTAATACCTCTCCCATCAATTTTATCGCGTTTTGTCGCCGACTGAATTATAATGTTTTGTTTGGCCCACGAGACCGACCGATTTGTCACGGTGTATACCTAAATACTTTATATATATATATCGTTCACAACAATTATACATAATAAAAAACGGTCCGCTCGGTCGCCGTCGTGGAAATTATACCAACAGTACGCGTATCATGAAATAAAGATATTTATATCCGTGTGTACATTGCGTGCATAATATATTAAACGTGCTAGCGAATTCCGAAATCAGGAATAATCAACAACGGTTGTACATTTTCATTCCCTTTTTTATTTTTGCCGTAGTCGACCAGTTCGGGGGGGGGGGGGGGAAATCCATCGATGTCATATATTTTTTGCCGATACCCAAATGCACGTGACTGACATATTACAGCGTTGTTCTCGAAACGCGCATTCGATTAATAATATTACGATCAGGAGGGACCGAAAGACAAGCCGTTGAGAAATTCCTTTATATTTTTTATTACAGCTTGGTTGTGCAGTGATATAGTTTGTCAAGTAGGATATTTTTGGAAACGCTCGTTGACAACACGGAAAAGAATCGATTATAATATTTTGTTCGCGGTAAAATAATAATATAATTAAAATTGAAGAACGTTCGTCAACGGTACAAGGACAATAAGGAGTGAAAATATCAATGTACACATAACATTTTAAGTCCAATATAATAGGTACGTGCAGGTATACCTACGCATATCATGAGTAATATTCTGAATATATATATATACATAAATGTTTTCAATTATTTTAAGAATATATTTACGGATTCACGTTGCAAAAACATGATACTTTATGGATCGTTAAATTTTTTTATGTTAACAAAAAAAAAACTATGTATGTACTAATATGCTATGCGTGATGTACCTATTTATTATCACGATACAACGTGTATACGTAATAATACGTTTAAAATACATTTCAAGTAAAATCGTTTTATTTTAAGTTTCAAAACGTGAAATTGTTATCACAACTCTAATTGTAATCCTTTTATTATTAACATCACGTTGACCATGCGTTGCATAAACTACGAGAAGCAATCGACGTAACATTACCTCCATTTGGTTCGTCTATTTTGAAACCACGTCTTGACCTGCGCATCGGTCATCTTGAGTGCTTTTGCCAGAGCCGCTCGGTCCACGGAAGACAGATATCTGTGTTTGTTGAATTTCTCCTCGAGCTGTGATATTTGACTGCGTGTAAACGACGTTCGGGGCTTTTTCCTCTTGGGAGGTGTCCGGTTCTGGTACGGATGTCCGATGCGCCGAGTACCAAGAAGTCCGCCGGCACAGCCTACAACACGAAAACGAATGAATAACTATACTTTGAAAAATTAAAAAATCACGTATTTGATATAATCAACTATAAATAGAAATAACTCGATCAAGGTCGGTTATAAACATAAACAAAAATACACGTAAATATAATATTATATTTGTGTATGTGTTTGTGTAGAAAGTGGGGTTGGTTTCCTAGAATTACCGATGCACCTTCCTCCCGTCATTGTAGAAACTTCGTAAACTCGTGTGACATTTAATCTCGTAAATTGCTTATTTCTTATTTCAAGAATTTTTTTTTTTCATTCATTATATTTAAGTTATGTTCAAAACTTGATAAATTACTCAACTTTGCAGTATTTTATATGGCGCGCGCGAAGAGGGAAACTAAAAAGATGGTTGCAATCCCGTAGAGATTTCGGGGTATTGGGTTTTAAAATGTTTCGGGGGTGGGGGGTTTAAAGTATATACCCGTATTGGTAATTTATAAAAGAGAAAAAGTTTTACTTTAAAAGTATTTAATATGCGTGTAACCGTGTAATATACATTTTATTATTATAACTGTACAATATTGTAGACTGAGTTATAACTTATAACCTGACACGCATGTATTTACAGTAATAATTTGTTATTTGACAATTTAACGACTATTAACGTCCCGAAACCACTCACTTGTAAATAATTAATTTACATATTGGATTATATAATTTATGTCGTATGTGTATGCAAAATGGAAATACCACATTTATATTATGCTTTGAAATTTCAGTTCCCATATTCCATTACACCTGTATTGATTCATTATACTACATATTGGTATGAGAACACAGAGTTTATCCTTTGCTTCAACTTAATCAATCATATTATCATTATTTACTGCACTTATTTATTTAACGCGGAAATACTAATGATTCGTCAAAAACGGAATAATAACTGCTAGGTAATTAATGTTATCCCCGTATATGTTGATCTTTTATATTTACATTAAGTGTAAAATGAAAAAAATAAAATAAAAAATATTTGTTTAGTATTTATTTTCGAACAAAAAAAAAAACACCAGAATATTTTTACAGCTGCCCATAGCTTAGGGCTATATTTTTTGAATTAATTAATTATACTATCTTATGCACGAAAGATTATAATGATAATAGTATAAAGGATTAAGTAGGTAGTATATAATGTACAATTAGGTAAATATTTAATTATTAATGTATTACGGATCAGATACTCGTGTATATACAATATTGTTATTTATTATTAAATAATAGGTTTTCACATTATTCGATCTTCATTGACATTAAAGAAACCTACTCGTAAACACTCGTATAAACTTAAACGATTAATAAACTATATATAATATGACGAAGATATATTTTTATTAGACATATGTTGATGAAAATTATTAAAAGACGATAAATATCATTGCGTAGTAAACAAAATATTACCAAAATGACCTCCTGAGGATCTTATAAGTTTATTATATAAGGAAATTGGGTTAATTATTAGGTGTATCCATGTATGTATTAATATTTTTTAATAAACATACGATTAAATAATAATTTTTCGGTGTTCTGTTCCCCTCATAATATGTGATTGTATTATACAATTCCCATTGAAAACAATGATAAAGGTCGACATTATTTTTAATTATATTATAATTAAATAACGTGATCAAATATCGAAAAAAAAACACTCATGAAACATATATCGAAAGGTTAAGATAAATCTTCAGTTGTGTCATGTATTGTGATATTACAGTGGTTAGGAATGTGTTATTCAGACTAAACGATCACTGACTTGTCGGTTCAAAAGCAGTGGATTGTCGTGGGTACAAGTGTATATATTTTATGTACTCCAACCACGTGCCTATAACTTACGAGTATAGTGTTTTATAGAGTGCAGTAGTTTTACGTGTACATGTACGTAATGATTTTTTATCGTCTTTGATAAGTGCGTTGAAGTCGTTGATGCAGCAATACAACCGCAGAATAATTATTCTTCAACTAACAAATAGAACAAATATAACACAACGAACAGTCATTTTGATATAAAAAAGTGTGCACAGGATGTCATTCCTATACGTATTCTATTTACGTACATGTACATCAAACACGCAGATAAAAATCGTAATCGTAATAACGATAATAATAATAAGTCTCAACCCAAACGATATAACATAATATCTAGTATTTTGGATGACTAGTGTGCTGTAAACATTTTCATGTGTGCGTTTGTATATTATGACGTCAGTACGAGATTGGGCGAAACGGTTGCGGTTTTACGACCTCCTGTCGTATTTAAATAACTCCTTTTTACCCTGCGCTCGTCCACCGTGCAAACCAATAAAAATATCATTTCATATACGTATATATTTGAATGCGCTGCTGCCGTGACTGCTTTCCATATAATATATACATTTTAAACGATCCATGTACATGTATTATATACATATACGTAAGTACACAGTAATATAAGCTACGACCCCGTAGGGCACAGATATTTGGCAATCACATGTACACAACATATACCTATGTTCCCCTTCGCCCTCATCAGTCGTACACATAAATATATAGGTAGGTATATGGTGTGTTATCCGTGGTCGAAAAATAGAACATATCACGTCGTATATAATATATACGGTACGTACCGCACACGTGTACGCCAACGATATCGTAATAATGTATACAATTTTTTTGACAGGGGTGTTTTTATTTGTGTTTATTTTTTTTTTTTACATGTACACGCGTTGTTCACCGTTCGTTCGTTTTGGTGAGAACTTCGAGCATAATACAAGTGAAAAGTTTTAGTTTGCTCACAGGTATCATGATTGAAGAAAGTATTTATATGCGATTACTTATATTTATTATAATTGCTATTTGTATAGCGTGTAATATATATATATATACCTTTAGGAAATTGTGAAACAATTTATTAACAAGTCATTTAGTAAATTATGTGTAATGTTTTGAAATTTACCTCCAAACCGTTTATAATAAGTGTTTCTAGGTTCCTGAACCCTATATCTTTATGTATGAATTAATGGCCAAGATAATTATCCTATTAATTAATCAAACTAAATCAATCCAGAAATCAACTAGACATTTTTAAACAAAAAAGCATTTACTAAAATTAAAACACATGTATAAGTTACCATGGTCAAGATAAAATGTTCAAACCTTAAATTTTATGAGGTTAATTAATTTAAATTTAAAAGTTGGATTCATTTATATTAAAAAAAAAAAAAATAATTTGAAAACTATTTTTGTAAATCACAATTCAACTCTAACTTGTTTTTTGCCAGGAAAATGTATAATTTTTTTTAAAAATTTAAATTAATATTAAGCTGTTTTCAATAATTTGGCTTAAGCCTTTATTTTCTATTTTAAATTGTATTTATAAAGTGTTTTAAATGCATACTTCATAATTTTATATACACGTATATAAACGTATATATATATGTGTTCATAGAAATGTTATTTCTGCGATAATCATATATATTGAAAATCTTTGATGTAAGGGAACTATATGCATTTGGGATGCTTTTAAATAATATGCTGGGTTCTCGTGGAACATGAGAATACCCTTTATCAACATTGTTTCCAAATAAAAAAAACTTACTTTGATAATCGATTATTTTCAAATACTTACGAATACTTATGCTTTTCAAGAAAATGTATTATTCTTTGGTTTATGAGTGTATGCAACTTGGTAAATAACATTTTGAAGTATTAAGCAGTATTAATAATCTATCAAAATAATTAAGCATTATAGTTATTTATGATTCAAAATTATATTAGAAATAAAATTGCTTAGTACGAATAATTTTTAATCATCTTAAAATTTTTCTTTAATTCTTAATTAAGAAGTTTATTTATACATTTTACCATAGGAAGTACGTTTGTGTAGAACAAAAACAATTATTTCTAATTAGATCAAACTGTGTTATAAAAGACAGAAGACAAGTGAACGAAGAGGTTTTCGGTGCGGTGAACGTGAAAACGTTTGTTCTCGAATAACATGTTTAATACAGTACTTATGGTTTTCATTTGTAAGTTTTTCTGCCATGATCATGAGAACGCGATCATTATAGAGGAATCAGTATTATTTCGAGTAATAACCTATTTCCGACTAGTATGTTTTATGCTTACTCGAATAAATTTATTGGTGTATACCAACGACAATTCGTAATTCTGTGAATATTTTAGCTGTTATCACTACGTGTAACATCAGCATTGAATATAATACAATAAAAAAACTTGCTTGATGGTGTCATCCAGACACATACAAAAAAGAAATGTTGAGAGGGGTTTTAGGTTGTACATTTTCATAATTATACAGTCTGCGTATAACTTTTATTATAAAAAATATATTTTTAATAATTTTCCTGAATTTCGGGAGGGGTTTGAACCCCTAAGAACCCTCCTTGTGTACGCGTCCGGTGTCAGCATACTGCACAATGATTCCAATGCTTGATTCAAAACGAAACAAACATTAAATATTGAATTTTCGTTTCGTATTCGAGTGCCTTCAGGTATGATCGTCATCGTACTCGATAGTTGAAATCACCATTATTATTGGTCGAAATTAAAAATGAAAATCGAGAGGCGACGAAGGGTGCACTTGTTAAAATTTAAATATTCAAATACATGAGTGGGCACCCCTCGGTGTTATTGTAACGACAAAACATGGAAAAATGTGAGACGCGCGGCGGCGATGGCAGTGGCGGCGGCAACGGCCACACTGTACGGAAATAGAGGGGCGTGAATAACGCGAACGTTCGACGATTTTGACGTACTGCGCGCGAGTGCCCGAGCAGCAGACCCCGCCTAGGACCGGTGGCAGCCCACTGTAACGATATCATGTCATTCGTACGTACAAAGACGACCATATGAGCGCACTACTATGTATTTTATATTATAAAGATAAAGAGAGAGTGAGAGAGAGGCAGATTACATCGTTTTGCCCAGCTCTAATTAGTAGCTATTTACACGCAATGTTTGGACTCAACGATAATAT